TTTCTTTATGTGATACAATCTTTTTTAACTCTTTTATAACCACTTTTTTACGTGACACAATCTTTCTAGCTCTCGTACAGTTAACCTTACCATAATCTCGCATAACCTAACTGAAATACAGCGTATTGCAAATCATTTTTTAATTCTAAAAAAAAAGAAACTATGTCGTAATAATGCATGACGTAAATATTAGTACATATTTCTTCAATGAAATTGTATCATTTTTTTGGCATGTCTTCATAGTGATTTTGTAAAAAACTTTTTAATTATAAAAAGTTATTTAGGATTTTCTCTTATTTTTCGCAATGTTCAAAATATCACCTCATTTAACATGACTGCCAACGCGATTGTTCTTGTTTGATGTCAGAGCGACTTATCGGATAGCTTGCTGCAGCAAAGGAGTACCGCTAAATCGTCTCACTACTACTAAAAAAGCTAATAGGTTAATAAAAAAAAACCATTAAAATTTTTGACATAACTTTTACCCAAGACATATTTATGTTTGCGCATTCAAGGTGGCTTCACAGGAAATATTTTTTTTTAGTAAAATAATTTAAATCAATTCTAAAATCAGTTTTATAATTTAATGAAAATAATAATAAAATATGATTTATTTAAAAAAAAGAGTACTTTTTTAATAAAAAACGGACAAAAAAGCATATTTTATTTTGTTTTTCAAAACACGATTATTCCAGAATGGCTAATTAAAACAACATGGTACTTTGCAATAATATTTTATGATATATGAGGTAGAGGATGAACTAAGATCATTATATAAAAACAAAAATATTCTTTTTAAGTCCCAAAAAACTGAAAATTGACTGATTTCTAGGGGATAAGGTTAAAAAAAGACTTAGCAATCGATAAATATTCATTCAATTATCAAGATTGTAGTTCATTCTCTACATATATATGTATTGAACGATTGGGGAAAATTTGGAGATCTAGGCATTTTTTTAATGTTGAGATATCGTGTTTTGAGTTCATAAATTATGTTAAAATCTTCATTTTTAAATAAAAGACAATAAAGTAAAAAAGTTTTAAAAATATTCTTTTTTGTTGATATATTTGGATAACTGTTTTTGATTTTTATCAATCCAACCATTACTAATTCCTCTCCACTCTTTTTTTCCTTTTTTTTTTTTATTGTGGTTCTCTTTTTTTACCATATTCTCTAACTGCTTTTGGTCTTTTTTTACTGAACTGATTATCGTATTTTTTCTAAGTCTAGATTTAAATGTTTAAATACACAATAAATACCCAACGAACCTTTATTGAAAGAAAGAACCGCTGAGTTTACTCCTATTTCAAGAACATCTGTGTTTAAATAAAAATCTTAAGGACATCGGGACCAGATGATAGTAAAGAAGTCAAACTCGAACATTATCCAGGTTTCACTATCTAATCTTCACCTTGAACTAAAATACTCAAAACATGCGCCCACCACAAGCAGGAGACATACAAGGGTGTCTACGTTCGCGAAGACCAAACGCCAGAGCATAAATCTGAGTTTAACGCTACTCGCACCCAGCTCAAGAAGCTAAATGACGAACTTGCTGCTGCTAATATTCTAGATAAACTGTTTCGGAATGTTATACATCGAAGGACAGGTTGCATCAGTTGCATCAATGTCATCAAATCAACGTCCAACCAATGCTATGTGTTTGCATCCCCAGCCAGAGCCCTGGCTGACTATGCCAGTCGAACAGCCCTCCTAAATCAGAAATCTCTAATGCCATCTAGACGTCAATAGATACTCATAAGATGTATGGCTGAAATTTTCAATTTCAGCCATACATCTTATGAGTCTATCGAGGTTAACGGTGGCATTGCAACAGTTGCCCACGTGAGAGATGAGCGTTAAGGCGATATCAGGTTTCAAAAATGCCTTGATTAATGTCACCTAACTCAGCTTGTCACATTCCCAACGTACCGTAGTAGTCGACTCGTCGAGCCCACAAGAAAACTTGATCTGATTATAACAAACAAGCCAGACCGTGCCATCTTCATCGAACAAGGTGATTCTCTCGGTAACACTACAATTGGCCAGGAACACTGCTTCATTGAAGGTCAACTCGCTTTTGTAGGCCCTGACAACCTGCTTACTTTGTCATTACAACCTCGACTTATTTGGAGCCGAGCAAACTACGTAGCAACATCCTCGCACGTTGCAGCTGTTGATTGGGAAACAGAATTCACTGGTCAAATGCAAACGATAGCTACCAGCTCCTAGTAAACGTGTATAATGAAGCTATCAATCTATACATCTCATCAATAACTACTTCCTTCACTGGAAAACAGGAGCAATGGGTTACACCAGATCTTATTAAGGCAATCAAAGTTAAACGCGCCTCTTGGGCCAAGTACATTAATGCAGGTCGCGATGCGTACCAATTACTCAAAGAATTACATCGCACCACATGCAAAAAAATTACTAAAATGGTAAAATTGGCCAGTCTTAAATACGAAGAAAAACTTGCCAGTGAATGCAAAAACAACCCTAAACGCTCACATGCACATGTACAAAGCAAACAGAGTGTTAGGAGCACTATTACATCGCTAGAAACAACTAAAAAAGCAACATCACTACCGATACCGGTGATATATGCTCATTATTGAATAACTTTTTTCATTCGGTTTTTGTTTTAGAGCCCGAAGATCCATTGCCAGCTTTCAAAAGTCGTACTGAATCAATTTGTGTTGTCGACCCAGCAAGTTTTTCTATTGGTATAGTACAAAAGTGCCTCTACCACCTTGATGAACGGAAACCAACCGGCAACGATGGTTTGCATCCACGGGTCCTTAGTAAATGTGCACCTAGTTGCACATTTACTAAGGACCCGTGGATGCAAACTGGTACTAAGGACCCGTTCGCGACTGGTGAAGTCGGGGACTACACTAGTCGCGAACGAGCACTCTTTGAAAAGTGAAAGTGGTTTAGCTTTGCCAAACCACTTTCACTTATCAAAAAGTGCTCATCCCCGACTTGTGGAGAAAACGAATGTAGCAACAATTTTCAAGAAGGGAAGTAAAATAAATACATCAAACTACCGGCCTATCTCGCTCACATTCATTTCTTGCAAAATAATAAAAAGTGTTATTAAAACAAGTATAATGGAACACTGTGTTGCTAATGACTTAATTACTCCAAAACAACATGGTTTTGTTTATTGCAAAAGTTGCGTCGAAAATCTGCTAGAAACTCGGGATGTCATGACGGAAGCCATTTATCGGAGCTATGCAGTAGACATCATATACACAGACTTTGCAAAGGTGTTTGACGAAGTGCCGTACAAGCGCCTTCTTCATAAACTAAGAACTTACGGTACTTAAGGTACACTTTTAGACTGGATCTCAGCTTGGTTACACGACCGAAGTCAACAAGTGGTCATCAACGGCATCACATCTGAATGGCAAGCGGTACCTAGTGGCGTGCCTCAAGGCTCGGTCTTCGGCACATTGCTCTTCGTAATCTTCATTAATGACCTGTCGGACAGAATTAGTCATCAAATGAAACTGTATGCTGAAGACAGTAAAATTATTAGCATAATTAAAAACGAGTCGAATAGCATCACTCTCCAAGCCAACATTGACAGAGCAGTGGAATGGTCACATATTTGGCTTATTTATTTCAACATTAAGAATTGCAAAGTAATGCATGTTGGCCGCACTTGTAACAAGTCGACGCACAATTACTCAATGGCTAACGTTGACGGCACGCATTATCCACTCGAAAAGACTGTAGTCAAACTAGACCTTAGTGTGATGGTCTTCAAGGAATTTAAAGTGAGACCACATGTAGAGTCAGCTGCATCAATTATGAATAGAATGCTAGGGTAACTCAATAATACATTTCGGAGTCGTAGTTTTTATTTATAGCGCACATTGTATCTTATTTACATTCGCCTCCACCTCGAGTTTGCTGTTCAAGCGGGACTTTAAATGCTGGTCGCCGCTTTTAAAGTCCGACATTGCTATCCTTGAACAAATCCAACATTGAGCAACAAAAAGAATATCATCTATTAAACACCTGTCCAATAAAAATCGACTCCAATAGCTCGGTCTAACAACACTTGAAGAACGTCGTAAAAAATAAACCTAATCGAACAATTTAAAATCACGCGTCAATTCAAACTTCAGTCAGTTTTTTCGTTCCACAAAAACTTCCAAATAGTAAAGCCAAGCACATTTTGAGAGGACATAATCAAAAATTAGGACGCCAGCTTGTACGAAATTGTGAAGAACGACAAAACCTTTTTTCAAGTAGAGTTGTTTTCCCATGGAATGCGCTTTCCCAAGCAGTAGTGAACGCTCCACCTATCCATGCTTTCAAAAACAGTATAACAAAGTAACATTTAGAGATACAATTGCTGCATTGTCTGTAGCTTCTGTGTTTTTTTATTTTCGTCAGCATAGAGGGGCCTGGTGTAGCAGCTCTTCATCAAACTTTAAATAGATTATTATTTTTTTTTTATCACTGAATAATAATAATAAATAAATGATAAATAAAGATGATATTTAGTCCTTCATTACAATTTTGAGTTAGTCCATAAAGACATCAAAGTCTTTCTTGATAATTTCATAAATCCATTCAGTAAAGTTAAATTTAGGAGAATAGTTTTCATCTGCATCTGTATTTTTACTTTTTTTTGAAGTATTGTTACCTCGAGTTATGAATTATGTTATTATAGAGTTTTTGTTTTGTTATTGTTTATTTTACTTTGTTTTATTACAGTTTTATGTTTGAGTTATGTTCTTTTCTTCTATTATTCTTTGATATATAAACCTCGATTAGGCTATTTCTACTTAACTTTTCTAACCAAATTTGAATATTTCTTCTACAATGATTTCGAGAAAAATCCCTAATTTTGAGATTTATTCTAAATTATTTTTGCAATTTCGAGATAGGGCATGCTACCATTTATATAATTTCAAAACTTTTTCTTAAATAAAAGACATTTTATCTTGGTATTTTTATTTCTCAATAATCATGTCAAGAGTTAATTAAAAAATTCATATATTTTATTTTAAAATTCATATCGTCAAATTCGTGTTATGGTTAATTTTAACATATTTTCATTTATAATAAATAATAAAACTTAATTTGCTACATAAAATAATCCTTCCGAATACAATCGATTAGTGATTATTGTATGTAACATACAAAAAGTCTCTAAATTATAAAAATCTATTTTGTTAAATAAAATAATCACTCCTTCGGGATAGGAAATTCCTCAACATCATGAATATCTTCGATTTTATAAGCAGGAAATAAACCAGTCTTTTGCAAATTGTGGAGAAGACCTTTAGCTTGTCCATTCCAATGGTTACCTATAATACATGAAGACTATTTAAAAACATAAAAAAGATATTTATAAGAAATTTGCAACTTCACAATGCAAATTTATAAAAAAAAAAATTTAAAATAATTTTTCCAAATAGGTAAAATGCTAAAAATACAAAATTCTTTAGGGCAAGTTGGCGAATTTCGTGCAAATGGCATTAAAAAAATTACGTTGCTATTAATTTTATAACAGTTTTGTTTTACATTTCAGTAAATAAAATCTTTTTCCTTCCATTTGTTAGTAATTTCATGTCGGTAGTCCAAATATTTATAATAAAAAACGATGTTTTAAGTGATTTTACGACGGTTTTTCGTATGAAGTATTAAGTTTTGTGCATTATTTTATTTTTACCTAACAACGTTTTTGATTGCGTTTGTGGTTTAAACAATTTAAAAAGCAATGTTAAAATTGCTAATGACGTTTTAAAGACTAACAAAAAAATTGAAAACAAGTGGTTATCAGCATGATAATTAATGCAATATTGGAAATCAAATTTGATCTTGCAAAAACTGAATGTTTAATAAACATTTTCTAATTTTGTAATCAAGTTGTTACTCTCAATTAACTATGAAAAAATTAAATAAGATAATTTTATATCTGCCATAAACCAAATAAAGAAGCTATGGTCACTGTCGCTGAAGTCCGAGACAATAATTTTTCATGGAGCAAGTATAAAACATAACGTATTTCCATATGACATACTTATATGACGTACTACAATGACAGATATAATAGGATGCTTATGACGTTGATAGTGACGCGAATGCATCATATCGGGAATGAAATATATATAGGTGATTGCACACTAATTCGAATAAAAACAATATTTCTACATCTAAACCAATGCTCGATTGTGATCCAGATATTTTAACACCGAGTGCAACTACAATAAAAACTTCTTCAAAAAATAAAAACCTGCAATAATTGTACTCCGGATATGTATAAAAGAAAACTAAAGATGTTCTAAAAGAACATCATTAGTGTCAAACCGGTTCTCTAGGGATAAGGTTATACTGATAATCTAATCCCAAGAGAATCAATTTGTGCTGAGTATGATAACTCTGTGCATTCTGCATCAAATTTCACTATTCCAGCACCACCCATTTTAAACAACGTTTCTGATGAACCATCCACTTCATCAAATTTTACAAGAATTGGCAGTAGTAACCATCTAAAAAATTCAAATAATATCATAAACAGAAAAAGCCCAAAGAGGTTTGTTAAGACACCTCATGCTGTCAGTGGACTTAAAAAGATGATCAAAAAAGAAGTAGAGTAAGCCATTTTAGATGAGCTTTCTTGAAAATCTGGAAAATAACTTCGGAACCCTGATTCTGATAATTATTAAATTTAAAATAAACTAATTGCATTTTTTTAATTTAATTTTATTGTTTTGTAAAAGTTTCCGATTACTGTTTAGTTTTCTTTTAAGCACTAACAAAATATATATTTTTAGTGCATATTCAAAATTATAATAGGCATGTGATGTTTATTCTTTAAAGCCTTTTATAATCCCAATCGGGGTTTACAAGTCTTAAAAGTTGAGAAATCCTATATAAAGCTCCAATTTAAGGTAGATCCTAAAAAATAATTGACACAGAAATATATGAATTATCTAATTTTCTTGAATAAATTTAATATATAAATAAAATGATGATACTAAACTTTACTTCATCAACTTGCACGAAATGGTGCAAATTGTAAAAAAAAATAATTTGTTTTCTAAATTATTACTTGTAAGTAGATAAAACCAGTGATATTTTTGTTCGGAAAATAATTTTAGTTTTAGTTTTTATTCAGTTTAGAGGCAAAGTTTTTAGCTCTAGTTCTTATTCAGTTCAGTAAATAAATTTAGTTCTAGTTTTTATTCAGTTCATCTTAAAATAATTTTAGTTTTAGTTTTTATTTGTTTCAATTTTTGTTTGTCGTATAAATTTTTTATCTCATCTAATTATAATTTAGTATAATTTATAAATAATATAGGCATATATAATTAAAAGAAGTAAGTCTTAGTTCTATAAACAAACAAAAAAATGAGAACTTAATTAAATGTAATACACCCAGTCCCATGGCTAGAAGTTTAGAGCCCCGCCCACCGCCCTTAATAAAAAACACAACAACAACCTGTCCTTATTGCTCTAAAACTTAAAAAAATTTCAATTATTAGGTATAAAAAAAACTCCTCAAATTTGGTAACAATAAAAACTAATGAATAGTTATTGTATAGATTTTAATAATTACTCATATATTTTACAAATAAAGGGCCTAGTGATTATATGATTATCATCTAGACTAGATGAGAATTTAGTTTTAAGAAAACTCGCATTTCCAATGACGCTGACATTCGATTTCTCCGTCCATTTGTGAGCAAGCCACAGATAGAAAAAAGTCTTTCAACATATGCTTGAGTTGCAGGAGCTGCAATGAGGTCTTCAGCTAATGGTGCAATATGTGGGTAAACAGCACGTCTCATCTTCCAGAAATTTAAAGCATTTTGGCACATAGAGCAGTTCCTTATTTCAATAAAATATTTGTTGAGTTCATTTTGTGCTTCATTACCTGGAATAAGCTTTATTTTTTCTACTCGCTGTTTTGCCACTAAAAATTTCCATTTTGTTAATCCATTTATTTCTGGAGCAATCTCAACAGAAAGAGTAGATGCACTTGCTAAAAGTAAATCAAGTTGCACCGATTTTTTAGCCTCTGACAAAATGTATTTCTTTGCACACTCTCTGATTTGTGTATGCTCATTACCTAAAAGAGCTATTGCACATGTGGGGTCAAGTAGACATGCGGCACATGGCAGTGGATTAAAATTAGGATCGTTTGGCTGCAAAAGAACGGCAAAACGACGGCGTAGATCTTCAAGCATTTTAACTGCTACATCTTTGGCATCTCCAAATTGCTCAAGGTGACATTCTAAATTAAGTATTGAAGGTATAACACTGGATAGTGAAAGTGCATCCGTCTGAAGAATATCAGTTTCATTGGCAAAAGGTTCTAAAAGATTGACAAAATCCTGAAGCATTATCCATTCGCTATTGGCAAGTGAATCAATGTTAAGGTCTCCAAGCACTTCGTTGATAGATGTCTTTATTTCCAGAAATCTCCGAACCATAAAGTAAGTGCTGTTCCATCTTGTAGAACAGTCGCTGATCACAGTCTTACCACATTTGTTGATAATTTTTTCCAATGCAACAAAAGATTTGCGAATTTTTCCCACTAATCCACGTACCTTCAAAAGTAAGCCATGATATTTACCATCATATGCAAGTTTTACAACTAGCTGTATAACATGTGCAATGCATCCCAATCTTCTAAATGCTACGTTTTCTATTACATCAACTATCAAGTCAACATGTTCCCACTCTTCACTATTTGTCATATTCTCATCGTCTTCCAGATCTGTTATCTGCTCTTCATTAACCTCACTTTCTAATTCAATAAGTATATCACGTTCAGCTTGAGCTTTCATTCTCGACAACTTTATGCCTTTGACCATGTTTGCTCCATTGTCCGAAATAACAAGCAATATTTTTTCTCTGGAAATATTCCAATATTTTAGGCATTTTTCAAAACAATTAGCAATTTGTTCACCTGTATGTGGATGTTTCACAAGATACAAATTAAGCAGAGCATGTATTGGTTTTTCGGATTTAAAGTGAAAAAAACAAACCGAAATTCCTAAAAAGGACGCAGTAAGACCTTTTTTAGTCCAGCCATCAAGGCATATAGTGAAGCGCCTGCCTTCAGATATGAAGTCACGAAGTTTTCTCGTTAAAACAGTTAAAATTCTTCATTAAGTAGGCTAGTAATTTTGGCAGAGTTTTCTCGTTAAAACGTTAAAAAGTTTTCTCGTTAAAACAGTCAAAATTCTTCATTAAGTAGGCTAGTAATTTTGGCAGAAGCAGGCAATGAAAATTTATAATCCAAGGTATTAACTAACTTTCTAAAACTCGCATTATCCACCAATGTCACTGGATTACATGTTGCAATTATCATTTGAATAAGAGAGTTTAGTCGAATTTTATGCTCGTGTGAATTAATAGGCCATGCGGTATTCCTACGATTAATGCATTGAATCAAGGTCTGGTTCTGATTTGAGGACGATTCTAAAAGAGTGGGTCCATTTTCATCCACTGCTTTTCTCTTTATCCCTGTTTGCTTTTTTTCACTTAATTTCTTTAATTCCGACTCTTCCAGCTCAACGTGTACAGACTTATGGTTTCTTGCTAAATGTAGCTAGAAAAAAATAAACATATTTATATAATTTGTATATTTATATGTTTATTTATCTATCTGTTTATCAATTAATGTATAAATAAGTTCGTATACGTTATTGAATAATTACTCTAAAATGATAAAAATGAGTCGTTTGTTTCAAAATGAAAACATATCCTCTAACAGATAAACTAACTTTAAGATTTGTTGGGTTCTTTCCACACAACTTTGTATTGCATACTTTTTCACCATCAAGTAAAACTAAACATACTGATTTGTCGGATGACGCATCGTATTTAAACCATTTCCATACTGAACTATTCCTCTTCCTACCAGCAAAAAGTTTACTCAAACTCATCGCGTAGTTGTGTTGGTCTTACAGTTTGATTTTTTTTAGTTCGAAAAAATATATTTGAATAAATATATTCGAACTATATCATAACTAAACTTATTCGAACTTAATTGAATAAAATTCAATTAAGTTCGAATAATATATCATTATAATGTATTGTAATATAATAATTATATATATCAAATAATTCAACTCGTTTCAAATCTAGAACGAAAATATTTTGTTTTAAAATAATTTTCAATTCCGTTCGAAAATTTAAAATTATCGTTTTTATTCTGTTCTCGTTCTTAAAATAAATTTCGTTTTAGTTTTCGTTTTCGTAAATGAAAGGCTTTTTTTTTCGTTCTCGTTTTCGTTCTCGTGTACGAAAATATCACTGGATAAAACAATTAGGTGCTCAAATTAAGATCGGTATTTTCCTGAAAGCCGTTTGTTCAGATTTCATAATGTTTGCAGCAAACGTTCACTAAACTGCTCGATATTTGCCAATTTACCCTAGTTTCAATTTAATAAAATAAACTAAAATTTAAAAAAATTTGTAAGAAAAAATTCTCTTTATATTAACTTTTTATTATAAAAGTTTACACCAACTTAAAATAATGTTCAATTATTATTTTAATTGTTTTCATTTATGTTTAACTCAAACGTTTTATTTCATTTAAGCCAAACAAAGATTTGTTGTTACAAATCTCTGAGATTTGTAAAACTGATAAATTAGTTTTTCTATTTGTTTACATTTCATTTTCTACTTAATACTAAGCACTTGAATTAAAAGTTAAGTAATTTCATGTAAAATCAAATTTTTAACAAAACAGGTAGTAAAAAACAAGTATGCAGTATTTTAGCAGATTTTTCAATCAAAAATGTGTAAAAACATAGGATTGGTTACAGCTGTTTCCATATTTCACGTATTATTTTATGATTTTAACTATTAAAAGAGAAATTTTTTTTTCTGTAGTTAATAAATTTAGAAGCTTTTCAGATTTAGATTTTAAAGGATTTGGATTTCATCTAAGAATAAATCCAAAAAGTCCTTAAACATTTAGCACTCTATAGAATGCTAAATGTTCAAGGACTTTTTGGATTTATTCTTAGATGGAATCCAAATCCTTTAAAATCTACACCTTTGTCTAATTAAGTAACAACTTTTTATGCTTCGTGCTAAAAACATGGAAACAAAAAGATTCAAAAATTAGTATTTAACATCAAAATTACACAAAATTAAGTCATTTAAAAATTATAACAAACAGATAAACACATTTTAAAAGACAAACTGGATTAATTGTACATTTCTCACCTGCTATTCCAATAACATCTCCAACTCTAAGATCCAACTCACTTCTACCTTTAGCTGTATGTGGCCAAATGACTCTTGTCTTATGTTCTTGCTGGCCACCAAAGTAATAAATATCATCTAATGATCTGAAACGCTGACTGGCGTCAGTGTGCTTGCTGTTCATTATCTCATATGCCATCCGACAAACCTGAACAAATTTATTTTAGTTATCAATATTTATTTTTTGTAACAATTGATCATGTAAAAAAATATGATAGAATAATATATTTAATAAGTAGAAAACTTCATTAAAGTTGTTATGGACAACTTAAGATGACTACAAAACTAATTTTCTATATTAAATACTCAATAAATTAAAATATACTTATTTGTTAAAAAATTAATTTTACAAAATTTGCTTTTGATACAAGCATTTAACAAACATTCATGCAAGAACGAACATTTTTAGAAGATTCAAGAATTAGGAGGATTATGACCCACTACAGTACTGATTATCATATTCATACAAAAAATAATAATATTTTGAAAAATATTTGATATGTATTTTTTATAAGAAGCCATTAGTAAAATAATCCAAAAATTAATTTAGTAGATTCAGTCAGTATTTTTATATTTCAATCATCAGAATAACAGTTATATGGAAATTGTATATTTGTTAAATAATATTCATTACTTATTATTTTTTACTATTCATTACTTATTATTTTTACTTAATAAATATATATAAAAATAGATAATGCAATGATGTTCTTTTCACAGTTGAATGCTAACCTAAGTACACAATCGTATCAGATGCTAATTCTACAGACTAGGTTGATTTGTTTTTAGTCCTTTTGCAATATTAATACTAGAATATTTAATACATACTAGAACTATTTAATATATATTAATTTATTATATTAACTATTATACTTATTTATAATTATAATAGTTATTAATAAGTATATAGTTATTATAAGTATATTAGTTAATAACAAGTACAAAATGTTTAATTTTATTAACTATTAATACAAATTCTTACAAATTTTATTTATCTATACTAATAACTGTTGGGTTGTGGATTCATAAAAAGATAAACTTTTTAAAGATAAGAACATTCCTGAGAGGTGTAAATATTGGGTATAATCAATGGGTGTTATTAAGAGTGTTTAATCTTTGACTGTATTAAAATTTCAGTCATGCATGTGCTTTTACTCACAGCTGTATCTACAGCCATCTACCTTAAGTTCAGTTTCTTCAGTTGTATACTTCAGCCAAGTCTGTTATAAAGTTTTCTTTTAATTTTATCACTTCACAGACATTCAGTAACGGTCAATGTCTTTAAAGTTGGTTAGTTTTTAGTTTAACTGGAAATTTTTTATTTCTACCGCCCTCAAAGATAATTTTGCAGATAAGAGTAGGATTGGGTATAAACTGGTAGAAACTCCTTCATCATGATCAACATTTAAAAAAAGATTACTATTATACAAGCCTTCCCAGGAAATGTGTGCGGTTTTTTGTATTGTATGTCCACACATGAGTATTTTATTTTAGACAACTTGGTCACGACCGTTTGCAAGTTTTACTATATGTGTTGCAACAAAATTCAATAAGTTAAAGCAAAAAACAACAACAACAAAAAAAAACAGTTTTAAACATTAAAAAGAATGGTTTTATTTTTATATATATATATATTTTTTTTTTAAAGAAGAAAGCGAAAAGATAAATAGTCATCTGTTTCTAAAAAAATGTTTGTATAATTTTAATGGAACAAGTATATATCAAGTGTTAAATTAAGCGATTGCGATTTGCAATCTCTGGAAAAATATCTGGTCTTCATAATTTTAGTTTATGGAAAACCATGTACTTTTTTTTCAAGGAGCAAATTATTATAAGTTTGTTAGCGAGAAAGTTATAAAAAACAAAACAAAACAGTAAACTTGCGACTAAAAAAGTAATAACACTCTGGTCACTAACTGCATCATAAAAGTAATAAAACTATAATAGTGTTATTACTTTTATAAAAAACTTCTTACTTCTAAAGTTCATTCTTAAATCAAACATTTTAATAATTCCAACCATTAATTAAAGTAGAAAAGCATCTAGAAAAAATAAAGTGAATACTCAAATATTACTAAAACCTTCAGGAACTTTTACAAATCACTTAAACAACTTTGCATAAACGTACTTTATAAAAAGTTTAGCGTAAAGAAAAACAATACTAATTGTTTGTAGAAACGCGCGTTAATTTTAAAATCAACCAATGAAAAATTTTTATTGGCCGATTTTAAAATCAATGCGCAATTTAGTATCATTTTTCATAATGCTAAACTCTTTATACAGTACGTTTTCATAAAGTTGTTTAAGTTCCTTAAGTTTTAAATATTATTTGAATATCCACTCTATTTGCTAGATGGTTTTTTACTTAAATTAAAAGTTGTGATTACTTATGTTGTTTGAACAAAGAATGAATTATAAAAGTTATAAGTGCGTTATAAAAGTAATAACACTATTATAGTGTTATTACTTTTAGAATGCAGTTAGTTACGAGTGTTATTACTTTTGTAGTTGATTTTTTAACTTTTTATAACTTTTTCTGAAAATCATTCTTTTTATTGTAGACCTATATCTATTTTTTTCTTTTTTTTTGCTTCGCCTTATATAATTTTGTTGCTGAATGTAGCAATCACTCTAAAGAAACTAAAGTAAAAACAGTACACAAATTATTTGAATTTTTAATTTCTTTTTAATTTTTTTCTATTTGCTATATTGTTAGTTTGGTTTTGATTTTGAAACTTTTTCCACAATGAATAATATTATAAAACTTGCAAACAGCTGTGACCAAGTTTTCTAAAATAAAATACTTGCATGTGGTCATACAAGAAAAAAAATTGCATGCGTTTCCTGGGAAGGCTTGGTTATAGCTGTTTGCCACTGTTACTTAATTAATATGCAAATCACACTACAACCAGATACAAAGTGAGAATTAACAGGAGCCTGCCAGAAATCTGATTAAAAAAAAAACAAAGAGATACACGCTAGAAAGGATCCTTTTTTATGCCTGGCATACCAAAATAATAATTAAAAAAAACCTATAATATTGTCTACAGACGCTAAAGCAGGTTTTACTGATTTCTGTAACAAAAGAGGCTATATAGTTATGAGGTGAAATGTAGCTGGGCCATTCCAAAGGAGCTATATAGTTATGAGGTGAAATGTAGTTGGACCATCCCAAAGAAGCCATCCCAAAAGAGCAGGAGGTGGGGTGGGGTTAGCTGGTGTTCAATCACCCAACCCACTTCCTGCTCCTTTGGGATGGGGGAACACCACCTAACCCCACCCCTGCCCCTAAAGCATCATTTGAGTTGTCACAATTGTACATTTAGCATTAAAGTTAGCAAATTTTGAACTTTAGTTAACATATGTTAAATATTGAGGATTTTTTTAAAGGTCATTCAGCAAAAAACACATACCCCACTCCCCTGCCCCCCTTACACAGGACCTCTTTAAAACGGCCCTGAGTGCTCTCCAATCAAAAACACTTAAATTGTTAAATTAATATTGGTGTTAAATTAATATTGGTGTTAAATGAATATCGGTGTTAAAGTAATATTGGTGTTAAAATAATATCGGTGGATTCATCAATAAAAATAGAAAAGGTTTATTTTTTAAAAACTTTAGCTTCAAATGATGAAGGCAAAACATCTTTGATGAATTTCATACTTAATTTTTTTAAATATAACAATACCTTAGCCAGGCTATACTTAACAGTTACATATTGTATAAACCTAATACCTGTCTGATCAGAGGATAAAAATGATCTGTCTAGTCAAAATAAGTTCAAAAGATTGAACAGCAAGAAAGATACATATGGAAAGAAATATGACTATTGGATCCATTAGTATAACTTAGTAAACTTGGTTTTGGCCACAAGAGCTGTGTTTGCAAAAGTAGGCAGTGTCAGCCAAGTTGTGTTTTAAATAACCACAAAAGATTATACATTTAAGACATAAAATAAATTTCTTTTATAAAAAAGCTATGAGTTATAAACTATAACAAAAAAAAAAAAAAAAAGCTATTCTTCATTTTTCTAGTTGAATTTTTCTAAACAGCTTTTATGTAGTTCTTAAAGAGTTAAATTTATTAAATATAGAATTTTATTTATATTGTTTTTATTGTATTGCAATGAACTTGACACTTGATACTTTAAAACATAAATTATGCAATTCTCTGAAAATAAATCTCAATTGACAAAAAAGTAGTTTAAATATAATATTAATGATGCACGTCAAAACCATCAACCCTTGTAAACCAGCTATGTACAACATAGTAAAAACTTAGACACTTACAACATGTAAAAACTTACAACATGTAAAAACTTAGACACTTTAGAATTGTTGATATAATGAGCTTTTAATACTCACCTTATTACTGACCAGCCTAAAATACATTTAACTGAATAATTTAAGTACTGTAACTTAATTATGAATTAATAGATATTGTTACATAGCTACTTTTGAAGATTTACACACGAGAATCACTCAACTAAATCATGAAAACCAATAGTTCATCTTACTAACTAACAATGTAACACAAATATGTATCTACACTGATGCTGTAAAATGACATAAAACTGCATCTGTCTGATGCAGTTTATATCATTTTTACAAAATTTAGGTATTTTCCTTAAAACTAAAAACTCTAGTCCTTAATGCAAAGGGGGTGGGAATAAAAGGGTGGGTGGGGTAGGAATAAAAGGGTGGGTGGTAATAAAAAGGTGGGTGGGTGGTAATAAAAAGATGGGTGGGAATAAAAAGGTGGGTGGGTGGGAATAAAAAGGTGGGTGGGAATAAAAAGGTGGGTGGGTGGGTGGGAATAAAAGGGTGGGTTGGTGGGAATAAAAGGGTGGGTGGGTGTTTGGGAATTTTAGTCCAGCTCTAATAAATAAGGAGCGGAAAAAAATATTAGTTGGGATTTAATTTCAACTAATATTTTTTTCACAAAACACGCATAAAACATTTTAAATCTAACGTGGCTTGTGGTCAAATGCGCATTTTCTAACAGCTGTTTTATAATAATTTCAATAGGATTTAATATGTTGATATAAGTTTAATATTTTGGTAAGAATTATGAATAGTGTTTGAAATAAGATTTTTAATTAATTATAAAATTTTTGCAGAAATACATAGATAAACAATTAAAAAATATAACTTGCTATAAAAATTGTCTTAAAACTAAGTTAAAATATGATTTTTAATGGATATGAAGAGTCAAAATAGTGAGTTTAAAAACAAAATAAATATATTAAAAAAAATAACAGGGGGTAAAATATAAAGACATCTGTTAACATTTCTGTAAACTTTATTTACTGTTTTAAAAATAATTTTCCAAAAGAAAAAAAAAACCAACAAACATGTTTGGTTATAACAAAAAAACATATAAAAAACAATTTTTTGATTAACATTTAAAAAATTATACAAACTACTAATACTGTAGTATTTGTATATATAAATATATAAAAATAAAATGGTTTAAACTTACCTGTGATGAAAATGTACATACAAGAAGATCTGTGTCAGACAAAATTTCAATATCTGAGATTACACCATGCAAAGATTCATCAGAATAACGGCGACTTACTTTGGCACTTTCTGACACACCACTGTCACTTAAAAACTCATACTCTGGGTACCTAAGTAAAAAACACATTTAAAGTTTTCTTCTTGTATAACTAAAGCCATTGCCTATGTCTGCGTATATACTTGCATATATAAAGCCAAGCAAAAAAGTTTCAAAAATTTCTTATTTTTATTTCAACAAAATGTTGGTGTTTATTGTGTTAAGTTTTAAGTTAATGTTAATATTAAATTAATGTTAAGTTTAAGGGCAATAAATTTCTTTTTATTTTTTATTTTTAGCTATTTATATGTTGCTAACAATAATTTGTATCGATAAAAGAAAACACACTACTTTCCTAAAACTAATTGAAAGTTAGACAACCCATTTCACTGATAATATAAAAGTTTAATGGAGTTTATTAACTATGCATTTTTGATGCTTAACTAATAACTAAACATTTTATTTAATGCCTAATAGTAGTGGTTAACTAAAAATTACTTTTAACCATACTTTAATTGCTAAAATTGCTAAATATTAACTTGGTAGATTTTAAATTTGTATTCTAGTGAGTCGAAAATCAAATTATTATTTAACTGGGTTAAAAATATGTCAGATAGCATCAAATGGCATATTTATAGACTGGTCAAAGAGTGCTAGCAATATTAAAACAAGCAAACTTGTGTTTCTGAATTTTTCTGAATAATGTAATTATAAAGTAAATGCAAATAAAAGTATAATATATAAAGTATATAAAGAGCAAATCTCAATATAATTAGCAGCCAATTAAAACCTGTAAAAAAAAAAACTTTTTGCCCAGTCCACTACTGCCCAATTTGTCTCAGCAACAAATTGGGCAGTAGTGGACTGGGCAAAAGATCTGAATGGTAAAAAACTTGGAAATTGTTCAAGTAAAAATTAAAAAAACTTACCAAAAATGATAAATATATCTAATCAAGAACTATTAATCAATATTTGTTTGTGGTTTTATATTAGTCAATATTTGTTAACCAATATTTGTTTGAAGTTTCATATTATTAAGTAATTCTTCATTAAATTTCAATCAAAATTACATGAGAAAAAATAAAATCTTCTGATAGAATTTTTAACTTAATTATTTAGTTTTTGTTATTTTTCATAAAAATAATGAAAACGCAAGTGAGAATTATTCAATGTTTTACTATTTCTTGACTGGGAGACAATTGAAGGTAATAAATTTTGAAAGTATGTCTTAGAAACACAAAAGATGTAAAGAAGTAAATTACTAGAAAGTGATCAAAATGCTAAGCAATGATAAAATAAAAATTAAAATAATGAAAAACAAAATTAATTTAGAATAAAGATAAATATTTTATTGTAAAAAACTTAACATAGATAAATGATATCTAAATATTAGACGCTTCTTAATTTATCAAAGCTCCTACCTGTGTAATATCACCATTAAAAATCATAACACATATTTTATTTGAATATAACAAAGACTCCAATTGCTAAGTAAAATCACTTAAATACCATATAGTATGAAAACAAACACTATTAATTACTGTTTTGACCTGTAAATAAGTTGAAATTAGGGTTATAAACCAAAACATCAGATCAAACACCAAAGCAAAATAGTTAGAAGCAAAAAATTTTATTGATAAAAAAATTTCAAGAAAATAGATCTTATAAAATTCTTAAAAAAGACTAAAAAGTTTGTTTATCTTTGATTAACTAAAAATGACTTTCTGTGAGACAAATGTGAATCTGCTCATACAAGCGAGACTTATTTCCAGCTTATATCAAATATAATGTCTTTGGACGTTATTCAAAATAACTTTAAAATAGTACCTCAAAATTTTTATTGATATGATTTTGTCTGATTTTGCAAATAAAACAACAATTAAAAAATGACCATAGGCTCTTGGACTGTAGTGCTTCCCTCAGCAATGATTAAAAAAATAATCAGAAAAATAATTATATTCACCACAAATCTCAACCCAAATATAAGATTTTTTGATAAATTAAATTTACAATTAATTATAAAATTGGCAAAATTTTATTACTTTTATTTAAACTTTTTTTTGAAATTGTACAATTTATATATTTTTTTCTAAATTTCATTTTTCAAAACCTTAAATTTTAATTTTTATAATTTGTTTTTATTATTTTATTATTTTTAATGAATTAATATACTTTTACATAAATTTATAAACATTTTATTCAAGAACATAAATTTTCATTAAAGCTTTGGTTCTCAATCTATTAGACTTACTTCTTCTTGGCTTCAATTAGTACTGAGGTGTCGTCAGAGGCAATAAAAACTCTTTTTTTGTCAAATGGCTTACTAATCGCTAACTTTTTATAATATAAATCTACCCAGTACATGTATTCATCAATATCATGATAAGCAGCTTCTAAATTTATTTTGTCAGTTCGACGAATTTGCACTCTAAAATAAATTTAAAACTTTTAATTGTATTATTAGCCAAATGTTATTTGAACCAAAATAAAATAATTAATAAAAAGAAAAAGATCGAAGAAAAAAAAAGGGATTTCAAAGCACTAAAAGCTGCACTATAACAATATCAATACCTCTATAAAACGTACCCCACAATCGGACTCTTAAAGCCCAAAGCTTTTTTCTTTTCTGTTATCTCTCTTTGTAAATCAGGCTTGTATTTGAACAAAAATTTGCAAAACTGCCCAATCCACCATACAAAAGGATGTCCATGAAACATCCTAATTTGATCAAACAAATCTTTAGGGACAGCTTGAGGCATTTGAGATGGACGAGGAAACAGTGCATCAACAATTGGTAAATGAACAACTTGATGGCTAGCATGATCATAACCCCATTCTTTTGCCTCTTGAAAATCTTTACAAGAGGTCACACTTTCAAAGTAAGCATCCCAGCCTTTTGAAGAATATCGCCATCCTGATGAATCTATTATCATAGTGCGACCAGTTGAATAGGCAACAATAAAACAATAGAGAACATGGTGCATTTGACATCCATAGCCACAGCCTTTATTCAGAGAACAAACTAGCTTTTTTGCTGTGTCACAATTTTTTGGATTTTGTAAAGTAAAGATACGTTTTTGAACAATATTAGATAACTCTAATGCCAGTGAATCTTTATATTCTGAAACAGAATCCATAGATACAAGCTCTTCAAAATCTCTTTCTGTAATCTGATTTAATTCACGATAAGTATCTAGGAAATTTAAGACATCTTCATAACCTGGTTTTGGAACAATATTTTTCATTCGTTTCACTTGACTTGATATTAAAAACCACATTTCACGTATTTGATTAAATATTCTCCGACTCAAAACCTCATAGTTTAAGCTATGCAAAGGAACAGATTCCTTTAACTGCAACTGTTTTTTTAATTCTTTAACTTGAATATATGCATTTGCTAACTCATTCAATAAAGTTTTATTATTTTCTTCATTCTGCGATAACTTTGAATTAGCAATTTTATTTTTAAATTTTTTAAGAGTTGTCGGAATGTTTTCTGAACGCAACTTTTCATTTTCACGCTTTAAATGAGCTACTTTTTCAACTACCATACTTAACTCATGAGTGGATTTACGTGATTCTTCCACAAGTTGATAGACATTAAACCCCATATAAAGTAAAACACATAACCATAAAACTGTAACAAAACCTATATAACGCATTATTTTTGCTGCCATCTCCCTGTTAAGTTTAGTTCATTATGTCGTAACTAATCAAACAAACCATGGAAATATTTTTGTTATACACTATAAAATAAGACCTAAACTAAAAAAATTTTTTAAAGTATAAAAAAAAAAATAATAAATAACAAAATTACAATAATACAAAATATTAGATTATTAGAAACATATAACTAATAAAGTTATGTGTTTATGACAATATGAAGTAATTATATAAGTAAAAATATAATAATAAATAATAATGAGAATAAAACTAAAATAATTTTTCTTTTGTTTTTTTATAATAGGGTGTCTGCCAATATTTAAAGATGGAATCCCTAAATAAATCCCTGATTTTTCCTCTGATATTTCTATAATTCTCGACCTGCTTTCCCAGATTTAACTTTAAGTTACGAAAACTCAAATTTCGCAAAAAATATTTAAAAAAAATGGTCTTTAATTACAAATATCAAAACATTAATACTTAATTCAAAGTATCAAGAGAAGTTTATAAAACTATCCAGGAATGTGGAGTTGCAAAAGGACTCTGGATTTTAGAGTCACAAAAAGATTACTTCTTCCTAGGTTTTGGTATCCAGGAGCTCTTAAAATATAAAAAGTTTATGGTCTACTAATAGGAAAAAAAAAAAAAATGATTTTAGGTAAAAGGAACAATAATTTTTTTAAACTGGAGTCCTTAGGTATAATGACGGCAAGGACTTCAGGACTCCGGGCATAAAAACAATAAGTTAAGAATTATATTCAAATATTAAATTTTGTCAAGAAAAACATAAACACTCAAACACTCAAGAAGTGTATGTAATATTTCCCTGTTCTTTCTAGGCACTACATTTCCTCTACCTTTGAAAAGCACTTTTAGCATCATTTACTTTGATCACCTAAAAATTATAAACTATTACAGTTGATTTTTTAAATTTAATATAATTTAACTAAAACATTTATGAACAATAAAAATTATTACATCAAAATGATTTGATTGCATTCAACTTTCCTTGAAGTACATTATCTACAAGCCATCTCTCGCTTGTAGATAATGTACTAAAGAGGTAGTGTGGAAGGTAGAAACCCACAACTAATGACCTGAAGCTGCAAGGAGGCCCAGGAAAAAAAAAAGCAAAAATGTTCATGACAAACTTTTTGATCAAAAACAACAACAATAATCTTGTAGATCATAAATGAAGTAGAATACTCTATAGACAGTAATATTGCAGCACATATTTTCTCAGCTAGTTTTGTTTGTAACTGGTGAGTAAAAAATGCAAACTATTTTAAAAAACTATTTTAAAAACACAATTAAAGCAGTTACCATTTCTAGGTATGAAAATAAAATTATTGTTACACAAATCTGCCTAACTTTTTTTTTTAACTGGAATGTCAAAAGCTTTCAATTACTGGCAAAAGGTTTTTTTTTGAACATCTTTACAACTCTGGGTCATGTTAAGCATAGCCTTAAAGGCAAAAAAAACTATGGATGTTGATCAGCATATTTCCATAAAAAAGAGTGAGGCTTTTTTCTAAATGGTTTACTGCTTAACTACGATGCAGTAATGAGTATATAAAAGTTGAACAGTCAAACATTTTAGAAAAACTATAAAAAAAACCTAGAATAAACCAACCCACACTCCTAAATTATTGTTAATATGCAATATTTCCCAACCCATACCCCTGTAAGAAATAAAACAAAATAAAAGTTATCTAAAAAAACTTTTTTCTAACCTTGCTTATTTAAATATATTTTAGTATTTTAATCAAAAAATCCTAGTGCAAACACTACCTATTTATACACCTTTATTAGATTGGCACTAATAAATGGTTGTATTGTATCCTTCATGAGCTATCACTAGAATGAAACCCAAGAGAGTATTCTATACCCCTATTTTTTTGGTATTTAAATGTGTTAGTTAAACAGTACTATTGTCAAATCAAATCTTGGTTACTGGATGCTTAATTCTATCTTACTATATACAAATGACTTAGTATTACATAATGTTATGAAATGTACCACAATTCTTATTAAATGCTAGTGCAAGCTGAATTAGATATGAAATTTAATGTCAATAAACCATTTAATCTAATAATTATGCCATACAAAAATATAGATACTTTTTAAAGCTTTGTACTAAATTCTAGTCATTTAACTTGGTCAGATACTTAGCTCACATTATACCTGCAGTCAGATACTTAGCTCACATTATACCTGCAGTATCTTGTGATAATGATGATATTTTAAATTGAATGAGTCTTTTTTATTCTTTAGCTAATATGTTAATACTTAGAACATACTTATTGTAACTACTCTGTAGCAAAGAAATTTTTTTTTGATTATAATTGTTAGAATAATGTTAGTATAATACTCTTTGAACTTAGTTTACCTACATTTGACACCATTCTTCACATTTTGAGCTCTCAGATTACAGTCTTTGATAAACTTATGACAAAATGTTAGTTAAATACTGTTATGGCTATTCTTAACTGTTTTCAATAATTGATTTATATGATCTAAAACCAAATAAACAATAATAATTTTTAAAAGTTAAAAAAAAAAAAAAAAAAAAAAGCGAAAACATATCATTTATTGATTATGCTTTATCATGTCAAGTGCTATATATCTTTTATAATAAACCCAAATTAATTTACAAAAAAAATTTTCCTTTTAATTATTTTAGGTAGAAAAGTATAACATACACTTTATCTTCATCAAGACTTAGGAATATATTACTAATATTAGAAAAAAGTTATCTACAAAATGTGATACACATGATGCATACACTCAGGAACCAATATAATATTGAAGAATATTGAAAAGAAAAAAAAAAAATTTTTTCCTAATAAAATTGAAATATAAATATAAATTTCTAAATATTTTGAATAAAATAAATTTCTGATATTACTTTAATAACTTTTTAAGACATTTATAGTATTTAGTTAACATATTATATTTTATTGACATATTTTTAACCATTAAACAGATTATAATGATTTGAAGTCATATACAAAGTCATGTATTTTTTATTTTTCTTTAATAATGAACTAATTTAACTAGAGTTTAAATAAATTATTTATATTACTTACAATTAGTATATGTATATATATATATATATATATATATAATATATATATATATATATATATATATATCATATGTATGTATTAGGGTCACCCTAATACATACATACATACATACATACATACATACATACATACATACATACATACATACATACATACATACATACATACATACATACATACATACATACATACAATACATACATACATACATACATACATACATACATACATACATACATACATACATACATACATACATACATACATACATACATACATACATACATACATACAAAAAATTAATAAACATACATACAACAAAAAATTAAAAAATAAATAATATAAAATACATACATACACTGTATGCATGTATGTATGTATTTTATATTTTTTATTTTATTTTTTAATTTTTTAATTTTATTAATTATAGTGTATATTGTTTAAAATTTATATTTGAACTATATATATTGTAGTATCTATTTGCAAATTATATTACCTTTAAGTTTATATATATTTGGATTTTAAAATACATATTTTAAAAATTATTTTAGATTAATTAAATAAATAACTTTTTCACATAAATTTTAAGATAATATGACATGTATAATCAAAAAAACGTGACATGTATTTAAACATAGATTATTTAGACACTCAAGTTATGATTACAAATACACAATATTAGAATTGAGCCATTTATAAAAGTAAAAAATAAAAAATTTAGAAAACATAAAACTTTAAAAAGCAATAAATAAAGTAATTTTATAAGTCAATTTTAGGTTATACTGTTAATTGCTACAAGGAAACTCCAGCATATTAACGTCAAAGTCTTTAACATTACCAGCCACATAGCCAAATAAAAATTATGTTGAATAATGTAGGATGAAATCATGCATATCGAACTCTTCTATATCGCGCTGCTTTCAATATTTAACTTTCCAATTAAAACTCTAATTTAAAAGGGTAAAGAATCGATACTAGAGAATGGTTTGGATTAAATGCCCGTTCCGTCGGGCAGGGGGGGAGGGAGTTATAGGTGTTGGTTGCGTTCGACTACCCTTTTTTAAAGAAATTCTTTTGTTTATGCAAGTTTTCTTATAAAAATTGAGCAAGATTTTTATTTGCTATTCTAAACTACATTTTTTTTTCAAAAGCGACCCTCCCTAAAAACTTAACGGTACCGGCCAGGTTTATAAGGCGACATTTTGTTCTTGTTTAGTTTAAATCATATAATAACGCATCGTTTAATAATGTTTTAAAATTTTCAATGATTACTTGGCTTCATGATTATACTTATTTTCTTTTTAACCCATTTTTTGATTTTCTTTTAACTCATTTTTACCTTCATATGATTTGGCCCTTTTATTTTATAATATACACTCAGCTTTAATGGGTTTTTAAAGATGAATTAAAAATATATTTTCAAATAATAAAATAAATAATATTTATAAGTAAAATTTATTTCAGCCTTGTCATTTATTTCATTGATGATTTAAAGAAATTCTCAAAATCTCATAAGAAGACCCATGATAAGCTCAGAGATAAGATTATATTCTCCAGTGTCACGGTGAGGGTTATTGGTTCCCAATATCCAAATAGCAAAAAGGTGCCTATTTATTACAAAAAATCAATAGCTTGATAGTTTGCTATTTTGAGAAGTTAAATTTTTTAAAAGACAAGTAATATAGATATTCCAAAAGACAAGTAATTCAAAAACAAATTTTGAAGAATAAGTTTATAAGTTTAGTAGATGAAATAAGTTTATTAAAAAAGTTTTATCTGCTTTTGTGAGTACATCAAGTGTAGTCACCAATGAACAATATTGAACTGAACTGGTATTGCAACTATAGGGAAGTTTGAAGGAAGTGTTTTTAATTATTTCCAAAGTTTTATCTATTTTTTAGATAAAATTATACGTTTTGTCATAATTTTTTATTGTAATTATTATTAACTTCAACCAAGGCCGTAGACAACTTTTTTTGATGTTTGAGCTTAGGAGCTTTAAAACATGAAGAAAACTCCACATTTAAGTATC